ACTTAAGGCCTGTTTTATTACTGCAGAACGATATCGTACTGCTTTTTGATTTTTCTTTCTGATTTTTGAGAATATGTTAAAATTAAAAACTCAGAAAACACAAAAGCCACAGAGGTGAGCTTATCAAGGCTAAGGACGGCAATTTAGATATTAAAATTCCGCAATAATAGAAATCAAATCTACTGACTTGCATGTGCAGTCTGACGTGGTAGACATAAGCAACACAACATGTACATATACTCGTATATGTAGTTTCCCTTTGCTCGCTATGAGCAGACAGAGTAAGGAAAACATCAAAAGGCACACAGCAGGCAGGAGACAGGAAAGCCCGGGGGCAAAAGGAGAGTAACATCTGAGCAGTTTGTGATAACAACAACTGATGCACTGCACTGAGAGCAAAGATTATGGATAAAGACACATCAAAGTTGGATCCTTTCAGAATGGAGGAGCACTTCTGTGTTAAACGGGGGTAGGGTAGGAGAGAGGTTTAGTGGGGAGGTCTGTCAAATCATCTTTACCTAATGCTGCCAATTCAATGGCACATCCCGGAAAAGATAAGAAAAAAGATGTATTTGAATATTTGAATGACAAAAAAAGTCAGGATTCAACTTGGAAGGCAACGTGGCAGCCCTATCAAATCTAAATGACAAACAGTAAATAATGCAGTAAATCCAAAAAGACTCACAACTGCCAGATGCTGGATTTCTTTTTTTCTGAGATAGTTGGATTTTCCCTTGAAGCCCTAAAGAAGAGAAGACGACAATCTTTAACAATCTTTAGTTTATGTGTCCGGATATGTTGATATATGTTTTTTTTAGATGTATAACACAAAGTTATAACCCTAACAAAACATCAAATGCACTTTGCTCCATCCGTCCACCACTCATTGCTTCATCACCTGATCATCTCAGTCCACCGCACAGCTTCCTGCAGCTCCATAAGTCGCTCTTTGTACTGGTTCCTCTCCATCAGCACTCGGGCCATCTCCACTCTGGTGAAACGCTTCTTCTGAGCCGTAGGTAAATCACTCTGTACCGGCACACAATTAAACCCAAACATGACCACACAGAAATGCATGAATTCTACCAAATAAATGAGCCACACAACAGACACAGGATACAGGACTCACCTCTTCTTCTTCGTTAGCTTTATGTTTTGCTTCCTCCATCTCCAGGCGTACTCTGGAAAATATAAGTTTTTACAGAAATGTCTATAGGAAATGGGCGTAGCCAGAGTTTCTATTTGGAGAGATACCATTAGGCACTCGCCAAGCAGAGACTCCTGCTACTTAGCTCCAATAGCACAGTAGTAAAGTGTGTCAGCGAGGATTTATACTTTGTGACCGACAGTGAATTACCTGCAGCAGCGTGCTTCATCGTCCTTGTGACTAAACACAGAAACTAAACATCACAGATTCCTCTCATAGCTCTTACTTTTTGAGTTCCTCCTCCAGCTCTTTGTTCTTTTCCTCCAGCTTGGATTTTGCCTGCAGCAAAGCCTCCAGATCTCCCTCCAACATCTCCTTCTCACTTGTCAGTTCGTCGACTTTCTGAATCAAGTCTTTATTCACCACATTCAAGGCGTTCCTGGAAGGACATTTTAGTACGTTTGTTTTTTAATCTCTGTTTTCAAGACAAAAGGCAGCTTAAACAAAGGATTCAGTGATTCTAAAACTTACACTGAAATCATGAATTTCAAAAGTCAGTAATATAGTGCTGCATGTCCAATCAGGACA